TCTGAAGTGTTTCCCCCCCTTCCCCGCCCCCCAAAAAAAAAAAAAAAAAAAAAAGAAAAGAAAACCCCCTCCTCCCATACATAAATGGCCAAAAACCCCTTACCCCTTCTGAGGATCAAATAGTTCTTTGGGAATGGAATTTCTCTGTCGTTCATTTTACTGGTTGTTAAGTATTTGATGGCATATCATCAAGAAAACTTTGGAGAAACTGTTGTAGTTTTGAATCTTGATTATTTATCTAATGAAATCCCCAAATTTTAGGAGGTGAGAGGATATTCATTTTGTTTTTAGAACTCTTCACTGGAATATCATTAATTAGGACCTGGATGGATGGAGATGATATGCTGTTGGTAAGTTAATTGACAGACTAGTTCGCAATCTTACTGGAGGTTTATCACAACCATTTAGGAACCTAAGTTTAGTATGCATCACCTCTATTAATTGGGAATTACTTGGCATTTTGTTTTTAATTTGATGGAAGTTGCTTATTTTTGTGTGAATGGTGGGGTTGTCTCATGGTTTTCATAATTTTAGTCTCTTGATTTACTGTCTTTCTTTGGGTTACTCATTTTCCTTTTAATGACATAGTGATGCCAATCCATTTTTTTCCCCTCTTGCAGAGAGGTCGCTGAAAATTTTGGAATTGAAGTTGAGAAGACCATGACAAAAGTATCCGGTCGTGTCATTAAGCCACCTAACTTGAAGGTTGGCAATGGTCAAAGTGTGACAGTTGACAGGGAGAAATGTCAGTGGAACCTCTCTGGTAAATCTGTGGTGGAAGGCAAGTCACTCGAGCGATGGGCCTTGATCGATTTCATTTCATTTTCTAAAATGAATGCTTGTACTTTCATTGGGAATCTGAGAAATAGATGCAAAAATCTGGGCATCCGTGTGGAGGAGCCTGTTGTGTGCCATTTTACTGGCAGGCTTGATTTCTGTAGTGTCACTGAAATTCAGAAACTTCTTGAAAGCGTGGTTAGTGAGGCTAAGGGGAAGTGTAAGGGCCGGTTGCAACTTATTGTTTGTGTGATACCCAAAAACAATCCTGTCAGAAAATATCTTAAATGGGTCTCTGAGACTCAGATTGGGGTACTGACTCAATGTTTCTGTACTGACCAGTATCTTGCAAACCTTGCTCTTAAGATTAATGCCAAGCTTGGTGGTAGCAATGTAGAGCTAATTGAACGGCTCCCCGGTACTGAAGGTGAGGAACATGTTATGTTTATCGGGGCTGATGTCAATCATCCAGCTGCACGAAATGTGACATGTCCATCAATAGCAGCGGTTGTTGCAACAATGAACTGGCCTGCTGCCAATCGCTATGCTGCAAGGATTTGTCCCCAGGATCACCGCAAGGAGAAGATTCTGAATTTTGGGAACATGTGTTTGGATCTAGTCAATACTTATGCTCGACTTAACAAAACCAGGCCAAAGAAAATTGTGATATTTCGGGATGGGGTAAGTGAAGGCCAATTCGACATGGTTCTCAATGAAGAGTTACTTGATATAAAGAGGGCCATATGTACTGAAGATTACCACCCAACAATGACTCTTGTTATTGCCCAGAAGAGACCCCCGACCCGCCTGTTTCTTGATAATGGCGGGGGTGCATCCCGCAATGTGCCTCCTGGAACAGTTGTGGATACAACAATCGTTCATCCTTTTGAATTTGATTTTTATCTGTGCAGCCACTATGGAATCATTGGGACAAGCAAGACAACGCACTACCGTGTCCTGTGGGATGAGAATACTTTTACGTCTGATGAGTTACAGAAGCTGATATATCACTTGTGCTTCACCTTTGCAAGATGCACCAAGCCTGTCTCAATTGTGCCTCCAGTTTACTACGCTGATCTTGTCGCGTTCAGGGGACGCGAATATCAAGAGGTAGCGATGGAGATACAGTCTCGTGCTTCATCATCATCTTCGGTTTCTGTTGCTTCACTTGATGAGAGGTTCTACAAACTGCACCCAGACATTGAGAATGATATGTTTTTCATTTGAGCGGCCAAACATGGCCATCTAAATCTCCTTCCCTATTCTCAGTAGTGGAGGAGATATGGTTAACTGCTGGATTTGCCCAAATGCTACTCAATCTCCTTTTCTAAGCACTAGTGAAGGAGTTTGTGCGTGAATCTAATTTGGGTTTCATGTGTACACTTTGAGCATGAATCCAACAGGGTTTCATGTCCAAGTACTGCCTGTTCACATGGTTCTTGATGCCATGTAGAATTAGAGGCATGGTATAGCCACTGTTAAGTAGGCTATAAGTAGTGTGTTTTCTTTTACCAGTGTGTGTGTGCGTGTCTTTTCGCGTTTGTTGTTTGGTTTCCTGTTCTGTTTACCTGTCCTGTGAGTTAAGTTGGGAGTATGGTGAGTTGGGTTTGATGTGTGTTGCTTTTAGCTATGGAGACTGTAATGTTTGGAAATAAATAAAGGGGTTTGATCCTTGTGTATGTTTCTTGCTAAATATGAATGTTATGTCAAGTTTGATTTTGATTTTAAGTGTATATGACAGAAGTACAATACTTGGAAGGTGGTTTCGATCTGAATTCGATTCTAAATTAGAATTTAATTAATCTTATTTTTATCGATTATTTAAATTAGATTGAATATTAGGCATCCACAATATTATACAAACAATCATTATCCTGTGGTATCACTAACTGATTTTTTCAACATTAATACCGTGCAATCAAGTATTGAGATCAGGTCAAAACAATATTTCATAATATTATCATCATAATAAATCAAAATAGATAACCACTCTACTATGTAATTGAGAAGGGGGAGTTAACTGTTACGTGGGATTTTGGCTTTGGCTTCTGTTAAGTGGAGCAACGTCTGGGAAGGTTTTTTGACCAATTATAGGTTGCCATGTCATATTATGGAAATCTTGGCAATTACACAATTTGAATATTTAACAAATATCATTTTTTTTTGTTTTTTGTTTTTCTTGGTTGCCATCTTCACGGAGAATTCAATTTCACCAGGTCTATGTCAGAGGTAGTGGGATAGTTGTTAAACCATTTGTGCAGGTCACTATTTATGCGACAAGGAATTTCAATGTCTTAGGACAGTTAGAATTTGTGCGATGAGCAATGAGCTGGGGTGGTGAGCAGTGAGTGATGATGGAAGAACTAGTGTGATTCAGTGGGTGGGAAGTGAAGGAGGAGAAAGTCACAGATATAACATATTGTAGATGATAAGGGTATTAAGGTTCTTTTTGTCACTTCCATTAGCAGTGTTATTAGTTCGTCCAAATTGCTTATTTTTAAACGTGAAGAGTGTGATGTGCTTCAAGGGCATAAATTGAAGGGGAAAATGCCTTTTTTTTTTTCATATTTAATTGTCGTAATAGATTACTATAGTGTTTTCTCGCTCATGTATCAAACTAATGCGTTGGATCTTGTTTCCTTATGTTCCGTTTGGTTAGGAGAATGAAAAGTAGGAGGGTACACTTGCTATCTTTTAAGAATGGAAAGTAGAAAAGATAAATTTTTCTTCTTTTGTGTTTGGTTGGATGGATGAAAAATAAAAATAATTATTTTTTTTTTGCTGACTAAGATTATGGATGACAATAGAGTCGAGTCGTGTCGTGTCAGATTCGTGATAAGTCATTACGAATTTGTGTCGAATATTAGTCAAATCTAACTTAACTCATTTAACCAATTGTGTCGTGTCGAGTTGCGAGTTCACTTATTTATTTTCGTATCGAGTTTGAGTCGTGTTATCGTATTGAGTCGAAAATTTTTACCTTTAGTTAAGATGAAAATTTTTTTTTTTAAAATTTTAAATTTTAAATTTTTTAATTTTTTAAAATAAATTTTCAAAATTTTTTAAAATATATATACATATTTTACCATTGTATCTTTATATGAAATTTATGTATATATAAAATATATAGACAAATAAGATAGATCTTAACACAAATAATTAACTTTCCATCTATTTTCCTTCCGATTTTAGAGGGATTGATTTTGGTGAGTTGGAAGGAAAGTTAATTTATCCAATTTTTCATCATTCCTTACTATACATGATGTTTTATTTATCCCTCCAACTTTTCATCCTCTCACTTTTTCATCGTACCAAACAAAACATTAAGATACGCTTCGAGGGATATACAAACTCATGTGGTTGAGCTATTACCAGTGGCGGATTTAGCATGGGGCAGCTGCCCCAATTAAATTTTTAAAAAAATTGGGACTTAAGTGTAATGTTAAAAATTTCAAAAATTTCTTAAACTTGTCCTCACTAAAATTTTCTTAAAGTATAGGGTATATTAATATAATTTTCAACTCTTAAAAGCTAACTTTTGGCAACTCTTCCTCATTTTGCAAGCCTAGCAGTTGTCCCATTGAAATTTTAAAAAAATTTGAGACCTAAGTGTAAGTTTAAAAAAATTTCAAGAATTTCTTAAACTTATCCCACTAAAATTTTCTTAAAGTATAGGATATATTAATATAATTTTAAACCATTAAAAGCTAACTTTTGGCGGCTCTTTTTTGCACTTGCTTTTTTTTTTTTCCGTAAGCCTTCATCTTCTTCGTTCAGACTTTCAGTTCAGTTTAGGCATCCAACAGACAACCCCTCTTCTTTCTTTTATTTAATTTTTTTATTAGTTTTTTTGGTGTATTCATCAACAAATCACCCTATTGGACAAATTTATTTTTTAATCAGCTATGAATAAGATTGTCCCACTGAGGCAAAATCCTAACTCCACCCCTGGCTACTACTAAGCTAACCCTTAGGGTTAATACTTGTTGTTAATTCTATAATATAAAATAGTATAAGTTATAATTGATGTTTAATTTTTTTTTCCCTCTTTTATATTTATAATTTAATTTTAAATATTAATATAAATATATTTATAATTAATAATTTTTTTTATTACCCTTTGTTTTCGGGCATGAATAATATCTACTAAAAGTTATAAACTATAATAATTCTTGGACCAACCGTGGAGAACAAGCTACCTCATAATCTCTCTCATATAACATACAAAAAGAATCTATGCCCCCACTCAGCAAAAGTATCCCCAGAAATGTTACTTGCACAAAGAGTAACAAATAAGGTCCTCGCTAAGTCAGAACCGGCCAAAACGCAAAAGGCTTCCGTGCATAACTAACTTCACCCCAAGTTTCCCAACCACAATGCCCCTTTTTTTGTTCCCCATTCACATTGGTGACCCAAAGTCATCGAACCTTCTGGAATTCCCCAGATTCTCCCACTACATAAATTAATAATTTCTGTTAATAACTAGTAATTAATATGAATTCAGAAATTAAAAAAAAAATAGTCGAAGAAAGAGTTATAACTTTGATTTTTTTAAATATTTATAGGTTATATATGTCGGCGTGAATACCAAGTAAGGGTCATGTTGTGTAGTGTTTATTTTAAAATATTTAATTTTAAAATAACTCATATGGTACTTTGTAAAAAAAATTAGAAATTATAAAATACTTATTTTTTATTTGTAGTATCAATTAATCATATATTCTGCGTCTAATCTTAATTTGACTCATTGATTATTCGTGTTAATTGATCGTTCTATTTTTAGATTTTGTGTTGTGTTGGGTTAATAAATAAAACTGATACCCCTAAATTACGAGTAAATATTTAGGAAAATTCAGACTCTTTTTTTTTGGTTTTGGGGGAGGGGGAGGGCGAGAATTGAACTCTTGACCTCAAAAAAATAAAATTTTCATAAAATAAAGAGTATCATTAGACCAAATGTCCATTAATAGAAAATTTCTAACTCACTTTTAGTGTCAATTATGAAAAGACTATTGTTCCTTTGTTTCCACTCGAATTAAACATTAAGCTTGATGTTAGTAACTAATAAATATGGATTCAGAAGTGAAATGATAAAATAGGTCGGACTAGTATCAAAATAAGTAACCTAATTTCAAACATTTTTAACAATTATTATGAAAAAATAATTGACCCTTTTTTTTAATCCTTGATCAAGTATATTATGAATTTTTAATTCGTTCTCTAATTTTTAGATAGAATGAGTTATTAAATTTACTGGTTATGCATGTCAACGTGAATACAAAGTAGTTGTGTGTTGAGTACAAATTCACTCTCTNCCTAATTTCAAACATTTTTAACAATTATTATGAAAAAATAATTGACCCTTTTTTTTTAATCCTTGATCAAGTATATTATGAATTTTTAATTCGTTCTCTAATTTTTAGATAGAATGAATTATTAATTTATTTATGAGTGATAAATTTGAGTTAAAAAAAGAGTTATAGCTTTGATTTTTAAATTTACTGGTTATGCATGTCAACGTGAATACAAAGTAGTTATGTGTTGAGTACAAATTCACTCTATNGAATTTTTAATTCGTTCTCTAATTTTTAGATAGAATGAGTTATTAAATTTACTGGTTATGCATGTCAACGTGAATACAAAGTAGTTGTGTGTTGAGTACAAATTCACTCTCTGCATTCGAGGATTAAAATTTCGTTTCAAAATATTCGAAACATTTATATCTGTAATAAAATAGAAATTTTATTATTTTGAGGCGTTTTATAACCGTTTCACGGTATTCTGTAATGTTTCAATACTTTTTCATAATTCTTTCAGAATGTTTCAAGGTATTTCAAGATACTTTGGTACAGATTGATCAATGTTTTAAAAAAATAATTTATTCTACTTCCAAAACAGATCAAAACGTTTTTGAAACACGTCAAAATATTTTTATTTTCAAAGTNCCGTTTCACGGTATTCTGTAATGTTTCAATACTTTTTCATAATTCTTTCAGAATGTTTCAAGGTATTTCAAGATACTTTGGTACAGATTGATCAATGTTTTAAAAAAATAATTTATTCTACTTCCAAAATAGATCAAAACGTTTTTGAAACACGTCAAAATATTTTTATTTCCAAAATAATCGAAATAATGTGTCCAAACAAAATTTTAATCCTCGTCTAAATTGAAGTATGTATGTTTCGACATTCAAGAAGAATCATTACATTCTTACGCGGGATTATTGGAGCGAATGGCATCTTATACTTTACCGAAAAGGAAGAAGAACCTAAAGTTTATGATCTATAGGACCCACCTTTTTCATCATTCTCGTTATTGATCAGTTAAAAAAAAAAAGATAGGTCCACTTCCTATTACATAAATAGTTATGTATTAAACAATTAAATGGTTAACAGTTTTAGTGAGATTCATTTGTTAATTTGTTTATTTATTAGTTAATAATTATATTACGTGACACTATTGACGTATAATGTAATTTAATGATTGCATTTACTTTCTATGTTTTTAAATATCTGTCGTTTAAAGTTTTTACACATAGATTAAAGAAGTTATTAAATAGTTCTAATATGAATAAAAAATAATTGCACAAGACTAAAATACTTTTATTCAATACGTATTGGAAAGAAAAGAAATATGAAAAACACTTAACCTCCACCTAATCTNAAAGGAAGAAGAACCTAAAGTTTATGATCTATAGGACCCACCTTTTTCATCATTCTAGTTATTGATTAGTTAAAAAAAAAAAAGATAGGTCCACTTCCTATTACATAAATAGTTATGTATTAAACAATTAAATGGTTAACAATTTTAGTGAGATTCATTTGTTAATTTATTTATTTATTAGTTAATAATTATATTACGTGACACTATTGACGTATAATGTAATTTAATGATTGCATTTATTTTCTCTGTTTTTAAATATCTGTCGTTTAAAGTTTTTACACATAGATTAAAGAAGTTATTAAATAGTTGTAATATGAATAAAAAATAATTACACAAGACTAAAATACTTTTATTCAATACGTATTGGAAAGAAAAGGAATATGAAAAACACTTAGCCTCCACCTAATTTAATGGATCGAAAAATTAAGGGTAAATTTAGAAGAAAAAATATTAATTATGCTTTGATTTTATTAAACGATAGATATTATAGAACAAAAAAAATTATATAAAACGACAGAAATTTAGGAACGGAGGGAGTAATATTTTTTTCGCTAATACTCTCTCCGTTCTGANTATTAAACGATAGATATTATAGAACAAAAAAAATTATATAAAACGACAGAAATTTAAGAACAGAGGGAGTAATATTTTTTTCGCTAATACTCTCTCCGTTCTTAAATATCTGTCGTTTAAAGTTTTTACACATGAATTAAGGAAGCTATTAAATAGTTCTAATATGAATAAAAAATAATAACATAAAACTAAAATACTCTTATTCAATACGTATTGAGAAGAAAGGGAATATGAAAGGCGCCCAGTCTCCACCAAATCTAATACATTGAAAAGTTAAGGATAAATTTGAAGAAAAAATATTAATTATACTTTAATTTCATTAAACAATAAATATATTATGAAATAAAAAAAATTATATAAAATGACAAATATTTAGAAACAGAGATAACAATAAAATAAATCTTACAACCGTGGAGAACAAGCAACCTGATTATCTCTATCGTCTAAAGTATCTATACCCCACCCAGCAAAGTAAATTTATCCCCACAGTGTTACTTGCAAAAAAAGTAATAAAGAAGGTTACGTCGTCGTTAAGTCATAACCGTCCAAAACGCAAGGCGTCCGTACATAACTGACTTGACCCAAAGTTTCCCCACCTCAAAATGCTCTTTTTTTTTTTCCCAATTCACATTGGTGACACAGAGTCATGGAACCTCCCACTATATAAACTAATAATTTATATTAATAACTAATTAATAGGATATCAAATTTTATTTTTAATACCATATCCAACTACCCATAAAGGTGATTTTCATTAGTGCTTATTAAATTTTGTGAGGTTCACTTGCTCACGTATTAACGAACGGTTATACTATGTAACATTGCTGATATAATGTAACGGTTTAATTTAATATTTTCTCCTCACTTACCCACCCTCTTACGACGTCGATCCTTGTAGTATTATCCAGAGTCTCTCAAACATAAAAATTAACACTTAAAAGATAATCAATTAGCGCAAATGACAAAAAAATCAGAATAGTATCAAAACAAAGTAATCCGATTTTAATGAAATAAACATATTTAAGGATTACTTTATAAAGAAAATATCATACCTTTTTTTAATTCTTTTATCTAGTACTCTCCGAATTCTTGTAGAATTAGGAATTTTTTTTAATTATTATATAATGTTTAGATCGGATGGATGGCTAATTTGGTACAAATTTATGAGTGATAAATTTAATTAGAAAAATATATTCTTGTTGTCGTGAATACAAAAAAAACAAAAAACAAAAAATTTAAATTTATCAACTTTCAAATTCAAAATAAAATGATAAAATTTAAATAATCAATCAACATATTGTTGGGCGCAATATTGAGGTTAAATCAAATATTCATGTAAAAACTTACATGACTAAATAAATAAGTTTGAAAATTAACAATTCATTTGGGGTCAATCTTAGTCAATTAATAATTTATCTCTCATGAATTCTTTAGTTTCGATGTGAATTATCTGTTTTTGATCAGAGACATGTCTTCTATGTAGAGCAAGTAAAAATTATCGTATTCACGAAGGATCAATTTCTAATGATCTAATTCTATAATATTGCCAATGTTTAAATTTAAAATTTTAAAATTTACTGTTTCTGTTTGTTATTATTTAAACTACCTGCTGTCACTCGCTTCACCCCGTCAAGTCACAAAAGCCAACCCCTTATCGAGCCTTCTGGAATTCTCCAGATTCTCCCAGATGACACGTCGACAGGGACTGCTAGTCCTACATACTTGTTCACCACGAAAGGCCATTTTCGTCATTTCACAGCCACCTTGATCTATATTAAAGCGCAGCAACCCAACTGCTCCCAAAATATTCAGTTTACTTGCGTACTTGCGTAGTGAGAGAACTGAAGAAAATCTTTTGTTTTGGCTGATTCAATGGAGAGAGGTGGTGGAAGTGGAGTGTGGACTGGGATGTCATGGGGACCCATTTTTGGGACTGTTCAGTCTCAACCTCAGTCTCCGTCTCCGTCTCAGAGGGTTCCTGATCAAACGATTCCTAGTATTCCTCTTAACTTTTTTCTTTACATCTTAATGTGAATATGTATGTGTTCATAGGTGTGGCTCACAATTCTAAATACAATTCGAGAATTTAACAAGAAATTGACTTGAAATGAATGGGTCTATATATGTTGTAAGCTTGTGAATCTATTAAACACACAGACAAGGAGCCGATGATACACAATTATAGGTGGCTAGGTACGAGTTTGAGCATTAGAATTCAACACGACACGACCTATTGACAGTTCTATTCTTGTGTGTTGATAGGCTAGATGTTTTATTTTTGGAAGAGTTTTAGAGCAATTGGGCTGTAACTGTACATGTTGGTTATCATGTTGTTCTTGTTTGATAATTTTGTAAAATTGTATAAATCTATTGATAGGAAACAAAGACTTTTAATTGAGAAATTTATTGATCCATTCTATGCTGATGGTTTCATTGTTTTTCAAGTGCAATGATCATGATTTCATTGAAGTTGGTGTCTTACCTTGTTTGTATTATTGCGGAGGTACTTGTTTTGTTTGAATTAAATTCATTGGTCTATTAAGAAACGAAAAGGAAAAGCATTAGTGTCACCTGTAATTTGATTTTCGTAGGTAGTTTCTATGTTTGGTCCTAGAGTTGATTATAGGTTTACAAAGTTCAGGGATTTTTCTCTCAGATTTCCCTTCGTTCCATATGCTGTTTTCGTTTTGTAGAAGTAATTTCTTGATGAAATTCAAAGATTTGGCTAAACGTTTCATTATTTCATTTTTCTACACAGATCTTGTTATTCCAGATGTGCAGTCATTGCAAATTTCAGAAGAGAAGCCTCAATCAACTCCTTTAGAAAGTAAGGAGAACAGACTTATGCCCATAAAACGGCCTGACAAAGGAGGCAAGCTTACGATCAGGCCGATAACGCTTCTCGTCAACCATTTTCCTGTCAGCTTCGATCGGGAGAGCACAGTGTTACACTATGATGTGGATATTAAACCCGATACGTCTGCCAGCAATAGGTCAGCAAAAAAATTCATCCCAAAATCTGATCGACGTTTGATCAAGGACAAGCTATCCTCTGATGATCCAACGGGATTTCCTCAGGAAAAGACTGCTTATGATGGTGAGAAGAACCTTTTTAGTGCAGTGACATTGTCCCCTGGGCAATTCAAGGTGGAATTGTCTCGTGGAGAAGAGATGAAGAGTCGTCCCTATTTATTTACATATCAGTTTGTAAATGAGCTAAAGTTTTCAAATCTAGAGGATTACGTAAGTGGGAAGCTTGAGTGTATCCCACGCGATGTATTACAAGGGATGAATTTGGCAATGAAGGAGAATCCTTTGAGGCATAGGATCAATGTTGGTGGACGCTTTTATTCGAAAGAATTCAGGGTGGAAGATGACCTCCATTGTGGCAGTGCTGCTTTTCGAGGCTTTGAACTAAGCCTAATGCTCACCTCACAGGGTCTAGTCTTATGTTTGGATTATTCAGTTTTGGCATTGCACAAACGATTGCCAGTCATAGACTTCCTTAAGGAACATGTTCGGAATTTCCTAAAAGTAAGTGATGTCAAAGGGTTGGAAAATGAAGTGGCAAGTGCATTAGAAGGACTGAAAGTTGATGTAACTCACCGCGTCCCCCCACAGAAGTACATGATAGCAGGGTTAACCAGAACAATTACACGAGATATTAAATTCATTCTCGAAGATTCAGAGGGAAATCCACCAACGAAAATTGGCCTTGTCGAATATTTCAGGGAGAAATATGGGAAGGAAATTATGTACAAGGATATTCCCTGTTTAGATTTGGAGAGAGAGAATTATGTGCCCATGGAATTTTGTACTTTGGTTGAGGGGCAGAGATACCCAAAGGAGGACTTGGATGACAAAAAAAGTCGGTTACTGAAGGACATATCAATGCCTCCGCCGGAGAAGAGAAAGACAACTATCTGTGAGATGGTGCGGGCAAAAGATGGACCTTGCGGGTACCTATTTTTACTTAGCCTCTACATTTATTCAGCCTATTTATTTATTGTAGTGTTTGATTATTTCTTTAAATCATTTTCTTACATGATTGTTGTAGCATAATGTGTTGTGGTTTTTTTCTTCGAAATTATGCTTGATTCTCACGGATTACATGACAAATTTCATTGGTTTGGAAATCCTTATGGTTGGCAGGTGATTGCTTTTGTTTGTGGAAGCCATGGAGCAAATTTTGCCAAACATTTTTGTGGTGCATTTTATTTGTAATTATAACACTACAAGTCATTTTGATTCTGAAGTGTTGCCCCCGTTCCCCTGCCCCATAAAAAAAAAAAAAGAAAAAGAAAAGCTAATCCCCTCCTCCCATCCATAAATGGCCAAAAACCCCTTACCCCTTCTGATGATCAAATAGTACTTTGGGAATGGAATTTCTGGGTGGTTCATTTTACTGGTTGTTGAGTATTTGATGGCATATCATCAAGAAAACTTTGGAGAAACTGTTGTAGTTTTGAATCTTGATTATTTATCTAATGAAATCCCCAAATTTTAGGAGGTGAGAGGATATTCATTTTGTTTTTAGAACTCTTCACTGGAATATCATTAATTAGGACCTGGATGGATGGAGATGATATGCTGTTGGTAAGTTAATTGACAGACTAGTTCGCAATCTTACTGGAGGTTTATCACAACCATTTAGGAACCTAAGTTTAGTATGCATCACCTCTATTAATTGGGAATTACTTGGCATTTTGTTTTTAATTTGATGGAAGTTGCTTATTTTTGTGTGAATGGTGGGGTTGTCTCATGGTTTTCATAATTTTAGTCTCTTGATTTACTGTCTTTCTTTGGGTTACTCATTTTCCTTTTAATGACATAGTGATGCCAATCCATTTTTTTCCCCTCTTGCAGAGAGGTCGCTGAAAATTTTGGAATTGAAGTTGAGAAGACCATGACAAAAGTATCCGGTCGTGTCATTAAGCCACCTAACTTGAAGGTTGGCAATGGTCAAAGTGTGACAGTTGACAGGGAGAAATGTCAGTGGAACCTCTCTGGTAAATCTGTGGTGGAAGGCAAGTCACTCGAGCGATGGGCCTTGATCGATTTCATTTCATTTTCTAAAATGAATGCTTGTACTTTCATTGGGAATCTGAGAAATAGATGCAAAAATCTGGGCATCCGTGTGGAGGAGCCTGTTGTGTGCCATTTTACTGGCAGGCTTGATTTCTGTAGTGTCACTGAAATTCAGAAACTTCTTGAAAGCGTGGTTAGTGAGGCTAAGGGGAAGTGTAAGGGCCGGTTGCAACTTATTGTTTGTGTGATACCCAAAAACAATCCTGTCAGAAAATATCTTAAATGGGTCTCTGAGACTCAGATTGGGGTACTGACTCAATGTTTCTGTACTGACCAGTATCTTGCAAACCTTGCTCTTAAGATTAATGCCAAGCTTGGTGGTAGCAATGTAGAGCTAATTGAACGGCTCCCCGGTACTGAAGGTGAGGAACATGTTATGTTTATCGGGGCTGATGTCAATCATCCAGCTGCACGAAATGTGACATGTCCATCAATAGCAGCGGTTGTTGCAACAATGAACTGGCCTGCTGCCAATCGCTATGCTGCAAGGATTTGTCCCCAGGATCACCGCAAGGAGAAGATTCTGAATTTTGGGAACATGTGTTTGGATCTAGTCAATACTTATGCTCGACTTAACAAAACCAGGCCAAAGAAAATTGTGATATTTCGGGATGGGGTAAGTGAAGGCCAATTCGACATGGTTCTCAATGAAGAGTTACTTGATATAAAGAGGGCCATATGTACTGAAGATTACCACCCAACAATGACTCTTGTTATTGCCCAGAAGAGACACCCGACCCGCCTGTTTCTTGATAATGGCGGGGGTGCATCCCACAATGTGCCTCCTGGAACAGTTGTGGATACAACAATCGTTCATCCTTTTGAATTTGATTTTTATCTGTGCAGCCACTATGGAAACATTGGGACAAGCAAGACAACGCACTACCGTGTCCTGTGGGATGAGAATACTTTTACGTCTGATGAGTTACAGAAGCTGATATATCACTTGTGCTTCACCTTTGCAAGATGCACCAAGCCTGTCTCAATTGTGCCTCCAGTTTACTACGCTGATCTTGTCGCGTTCAGGGGACGCGAATATCAAGAGGTAGTGATGGAGATACAGTCTCGTGTTTCATCATCATCTTCGGTTTCTGTTGCTTCACTTGATGAGAGGTTCTACAAACTGCACCCAGACATTAAGAATGAGATGTTTTTCATTTGAGCGGCCAAACATGGCCATTTAAATCTCCTTCCCTATTCGCAATTGTGGAGGAGATATCGTTAACTGCTGGATTTGCCCAAATGCTACTCAATCTCCTTTTCTAAGCACTAGTGAAGGAGTTTGTGCGTGAATCTAATTTGGGTTTCATGTGTACACTTTGAGCATGAATCCAACAGGGTTTCATGTCCAAGTACTGCCTGTTCACATGGTTCTTGATGCCATGTAGAATTAGAGGCATGGTATAGCCACTGTTAAGTAGGCTATAAGTAGTGTGTTTTCTTTTACCAGTGTGTGTGTGCGTGTCTTTTCGCGTTTGTTGTTTGGTTTCCTGTTCTGTTTACCTGTCCTGTGAGTTAAGTTGGGAGTATGGTGAGTTGGGTTTGATGTGTGTTGCTTTTAGCTATGGAGACTGTAATGTTTGGAAATAAATAAAGGGGTTTGATCCTTGTGTATGTTTCTTGCTAAATATGAATGTTATGTCAAGTTTGATTTTGATTTTAAGTGTATATGACAGAACTACAATACCTGGAAGGTGGTTTTGAAGTAGATAGATTTTGATCTGAATGAATATCAGGCATCCACAGTGTTATACAGACAATCATTATCCTTTGATATCACTCACTGATTTTTTCAACATTAATACCATGCAACCAGTTTGTTAGATTCGGTCAAATTAATATTTCATAATATTATCATCATAATAAATCAAAATAGATAAACAGTAGCATTTCATCGCAGTATATGTGTATTATTTATAACAATGGATCGAGAAAACAATAAAGTAAGACAATATTATAAGATAATTTGTCACATGTTATGTGAGATGAAATAGAAGTATTGGTGCGCAAATAACTATTTTTTAGTATAAAAATCTAACTAATGCCATAAATTTGGACCGGTCAAACTTTGTACCTCCATTCAAAATGAAGTTTTAATGTCTGCACCAAGAGAATTGAACTACTTTTTAGTATCATCCAAGTCTTATCAAAAAATTTATCTCAACGACCGGATACTATTTTTAAACACTCTTTGAAATATGTCCTAATTTTTTATTTTTTTTTTAATTTTGTTCATCCTTTAGATTTTGAAGGAAAATGATGCAACTTCCACGAAATTATTGCAGCAACATTAATCTTGAAAGCCTCGAATCTTTCATGCAACTTTATGTAGGTGAAATTAATGTTAAAAATATCTGAGATGAGTAATTACGAAATTCTTGTTATTACAAAATTTGAGAAGGGACCAAATTAGAATTTATTATGAGGGCGAGCCAAACATAAATAGTGTTGTATTCAGAATTTTTATTCAATTCTGGAAAGAGATGTCTCCAAGTACCTCACTTGTGATTGCGAATTCATCCTTTTTTGGCTTCTAAATTTGAGTAATGATTCCTTACAATGGCGCAAAAACACTTTCTTGATACCGAATAGGTGCATTCTAGTGCATGGTATCACTAATTTCAAATTCTTAGTTGTACAGACCCTATCAAAATCAGTTTTTTGGATATTGTTGTAATAATTAGTTTGACTCATAAAATCAAAAAATTGTTTTTTAATTTCCATCATAAAAATTAGGTTAAATTTTAAAATTCAAAATGAGTTGAATTCTTACCATCTTAAAAATTAATTTACAAAAATATTGTGGTCCAATAGGGTTACCACCGTTAATATTAGTTCCACATGATTCATATAAATTAATTACGACTCGTGTATTTTTTTATAATATAAAAGTCATGTAATTCAATTTTGCAAACAATTTTATTTTATTTTATTTTTATTTCGGTCATAAGACTTATTCATAACACTATTTGTCCACGTGATTAGTATTTTCCAATTTGTTCTAAAAGGTTAGGTTATTTCGTTTTTTTTTAAATACACTTGAATTATCCCCTCCATTAAAATCTTGTACACAGAAATATATACTAGAAGGGACATAACACAAAAATAACAAGATTAAAAGTGATAAAATTTAAATTTAAATTTATCAATTTTCGAATACAAAATAAAATGATAAAATTTAAATAACCAATCAGGATATTGTTGGGCCCAATATTGGGGTTGATTCAAATATTCACGTAAAAATTTACATGACTAAATAAATAAGTTCGAAAATTAACATTTCATTTGGAATTAAGGTCTTAGTTAATGAAAAATTTATTCTTTATAAATTCTCTAATCTTAATGTGAATGATTTATTTTTTATTAGAATAGGGAGAATTAATTGAGATACGCATAAATCGATATAAACACACTTAACTGTAATATAAAAAAAGAAAGAATAAATAATACATAAAATAAGAATATTATTAGGAGCGAGAACTGATGACACCACTTGACTAATTGATGACACTTCTCACCAATTGCTCGGTCTCTTCTGTGAACTTTCCCACCCACCCTTTTCATTGACCTTTCTGGAATTCTTAAAATTACCACTTGGCGGTGTTGATAACAAATTAATTTGAAAATAAATCCAACGAACCACAAAAATATAGAATTAATAATCAACTAATCTCAAATTTATGTGTACATCGATTTTTTTTTTTTAGCGTGGTCAGAGGCATGTCTTCTACACAAATCACGCTAAAACTAAGATATTCATGAAAAATAAATTTTTAACCACCTATCCTTATAATATTACTAAAATTTAAATTTAAGACTTTTGAACCTAATGTTTCTCTTGTTACTAATTCAACTACGCTTACTGTCATCCTCCTTCGTCAGTTGCTTCGTCTCTTCCTTTCACTTTCTTCACCCCCTCACAAAACCCAACCCCTTATCGAATCTTCTGGAATTCCCTAGATTCTCCCAAATGACACTTCGATAGACACTGATAGTGTTACATACTTGGTCACCACGAAAATCCATTTTCGTCATTTCACGCCAACGTTGACCTATATTACTTGACTAGTGAAAGAACTGAAGAAAATCTTTTGTTTTTGCTGAATCAATGGAAAAAGGTAGTGACAACTGTGGAAATGGTGGCTCTGGCCGTGGTCGTGGCGACGGTGATGGAGGAAATCATGGTGGTAGAGGTGGGAATTACCCATGTCACCAGTACCATCAGGAGGGTCAATATCAAGGAGGTGGTGGTGTTGCTAGAAGACGAGAGGGGGTTGGTAGAAGAGGAGGGAGTGGAGTTCCTACCCAGATCGGTGGTTAGTAGCAGGGTCATTGGCCCGTTGAAAGGGGTCAGAGTGGTGGCGCGTATAGGCTACCACACCAACTGAGTGGTCAGGGTCTAGGGTCTACAAGAGTGGAAACAAGTGAAGGGTCTGGGAGAGGTGGGTCTGTTGTGGGACCAGCAGGTGGTGGAAATGGAGTGTGGACTAGGAGGCCATGGGNGAGAACTGATGACACCACTTGACTAATTGATGACACTTCTCACCAATTGCTCGGTCTCTTCTGTGAACTTTCCCACCCACCCTTTTCATTGACCTTTCTGGAATTCTTAAAATTACCACTTGGCGGTGTTGATAACAAATTAATTTGAAAATAAATCCAACGAACCACAAAAATATAGAATTAATAATCAACTAATCTCAAATTTATGTGTACATCGATTTTTTTTTTTTAGCGTGGTCAGAGGCATGTCTTCTACACAAATCACGCTAAAACTAAGATATTCATGAAAAATAAATTTTTAACCACCTATCCTTATAATATTACTAAAATTTAAATTTAAGACTTTTGAACCTAATGTTTCTCTTGTTACTAATTCAACTACGCTTACTGTCATCCTCCTTCGTCAGTTGCTTCGTCTCTTCCTTTCACTTTCTTCACCCCCTCACAAAACCCAACCCCTTATCGAATCTTCTGGAATTCCCTAGATTCTCCCAAATGACACTTCGATAGACACTGATAGTGTTACATACTTGGTCACCACGAAAATCCATTTTCGTCATTTCACGCCAACGTTGACCTATATTACTTGACTAGTGAAAGAACTGAAGAAAATCTTTTGTTTTTGCTGAATCAATGGAAAAAGGTAGTGACAACTGTGGAAATGGTGGCTCTGGCCGTGGTCGTGGCGACGGTGATGGAGGAAATCATGGTGGTAGAGGTGGGAATTACCCATGTCACCAGTACCATCAGGAGGGTCAATATCAAGGAGGTGGTGGTGTTGCTAGAAGACGAGAGGGGGTTGGTAGAAGAGGAGGGAGTGGAGTTCCTACCCAGATCGGTGGTTAGTAGCAGGGTCATTGGCCCGATGAAAGGGGTCAGAGTGGTGGCGCGTATAGGCTACCACACCAACTGAGTGGTCAGGGTCTAGGGTCTACAAGAGTGGAAACAAGTGAAGGGTCTGGGAGAGGTGGGTCTGTTGTGGGACCAGCAGGTGGTGGAAATGGAGTGTGGACTGGGAGGCCATGGGGACTCACTTTTGAAAAAATTCACCCCTTAAGAGCAATATAGTATTTTCTTCTTTTCTTTTCTCAAAGAACTAATTTGATTGTTAGAGAGGATACGCCGAAAAATACTCTGGCACCCTTCTGACTTATTTTTCTGTGTGCCAAGAGCATCCTATAACTCACCAGGACCGGTTAGATAGCCCCTGGGGCAATTCATCACCACTCCTTAGGCCCCTTTTAACCCTCTCAACTCATCCCTTGCTACGTGATCCATCACCTACTTAACGAATGAGTTCATCTGGGAAGAGAATATGTTTCTATTTCATCTATTGTGCGAAAATTACCGTGCACAATCTGGTGCCGTCTGTGAGAAATGATTAGATTTTTCAAAGAATAGCGACTATGGTGAATACTCGACAAAAAAATAAGGGTCATCAACAAAGAAATATTGATTTTTCGACTCCCTCTATTTCAAAAACGAAGGACCACGTTGAGAGTGTCAACAAGGGACATTCCGTTCACTCAAGGGAGTAAACCCGCCAAATTAGTATGGGTATCGGGTCTGGGGGATCCGCCCCACTGGCCTATCAATTGGCTGAGGTAATCAAGGAAAAGTTCAGAGATCGGTTACGGTAGTTAGAGAAGGACAACGTGA